TTCCAGGCAGAGGCCGGAGCCTGGCATGTTTCAGGGAGAGCAGCTGGGGTGAACAAGAGGCTGGACAAGGGCGAGGGTTGACGCTGGCACTTGGAATGTCGGGTCCTGCGGGCCCGAGTTAACCCTGAGGCAGTCAGCCTGCCCCTGGTGACTGTGCGCTGTGTGGTCCTTGCCTGAGTGATGCCCCAGCTGATGGGGAGGCAGGGTGGATACCAGCCAGCCCACTGGATGGTCATCACGGCCACTGCCGATAAGGGTGTGCTGTGTGCCAGGCTGTGTCCACTCTGTCTTTCCATTCTACAGTTCCAGCAACTGAGGCCTAGGGGTCCCCCAGAAAGCCAAGCCAGGATGGGAAGTGGGGACTCCTGACTACCTGTTTTCCTGCTTCCTGGGCTCAGGGCCTTAAGGAAGGGATGGACTGAAGCTGGCGAAGGGCAGGCAGGAGTGGAGGGTGGGGCATCTGGGGGCCATGCCCCTCACCCCTTCCCTGATAAAGGGTCAGAGATGGTAGAGAGGGTGACCAGGGCCTGCCTGGCCCAGCCCCTGTACCTCTTTGACTTCATTAGGCTGTGACCCTACTCATCTGCTAGAAGCCCTCCGTGGCGGTCCCCATCGTAGGTTCACGTAGCACTCAGATTTGGGGTGGTTATGGCCCAAGGCTTGATTTATCCAAGCCAGTGCTTTTTTTTTTTTTTTTTTTTTTTTTTAAATTTATTTCGAGAGAGACAGAGCAGGAGCAGGGGAGGGGCAGAGAGAGAGGAAAAGAGAGAGAATCCCGAGCAGGCTTTGTGCTGTCAGCACAGAGTCCAACGTGGGGCTTGAACTCATGAAACGTGAGCTCATGACCTGAGCGAGACAAAGAGTTGGACCCTGAATCGAGTGAGCCACCCAGGTGCCCTTGGGCCAGTGGTTGTTTGAATTCACTCACGGTGGTCCCTCCCCTTCCTTGAATTCAGTAGGCGTGTGCTGAGTTAACCAGTGACAGTGAAGGAACACACTCAGTTCTCAGAGTCCTTGGGGCTCAGGTTTGTGGCCAAATAGACCAGAGGCCAACCAGGTGGACCAGTTGGCCCTTTCTCTCCCTGGGGTCCCACCAAGAAGCCTGGGGCCCCACCAAGAAGCCTGGGGCTTTCCGAAAGGAGTTTCCTCACCCCTTGCTGACCCTTCACACTGTCTTCAGCATCTTGGCAGTATCCCCCACTGCATGCCCTCAGCTTTGCCGTCTTCTGTCCCCCAGCCCTGGCTGAGACCTGTCTCCTTTTACTGCAGCTTCATGGCGGCCGAGGAGATGCACTGGCCGGCCCCCATGAAGGCCATTGGTGCCCAGAACTTGCTAACCATGCCCGGGGGCGTGGCCAAGGCTGGCTACCTGCACAAGAAGGGTGGCACCCAGCTGCAGTTGCTGAGATGTGAGTCCTCTGGGTGGTAGGGCGCATGACGGGAGGATGTGGGGACAGGGCTGAGCCCCAGCCCTGCCACCCCACTGCCCTGGTGGACCTCCATGGGCAAGCGACCTGTCTCTCTTAGCCTCTGCCTCCTTCCGTGGTGGGCCCTCCAGAGTCTTCCATCCCTCCATGGTGGCCAGTGCTGCCTGGGGGTGCTGAGGTCAGCCTCCTCACTCCCCAGGATCGTGGGAGGATTCGGGGTGTTACTGCTAAGTGGAGATAGGATGGGCATTTGGTGCACAGCGCTGACCATCGGTCCAGGGCAGCTTCAGTCTGCAGCCAGGGGCTGGGGGCCCTCGGTGGCCTGGTAGGTCTGGCCTTGCGCTATCCAGTGGGTGTTCAGTGAGTTGGTTGGTCACTCGGTCCTTAGTGAACTAACGTGCCAAGACCCAGCTGGGTGCTGGACCTTCAGAGTTGCGTGAGGCCGAAGCTCTGGTCCCTGGGACAGCATTTTGGGAGAGGGTGGGAGCCCCCAGGTCTGGGAGATGCCCAGTCATTAAGACATTGAAGGCCAAAGAGCATCAGGGCCTTGTTTGTCCTTCTGCCCAGGCCTTTGTTCCAGCAGCGCCCTCTGCCAAGGACTCCCAGGCACCGTGCTGCCTTACGGAGGTACCGCAGGCTGGGCTGCTGGTCTGCTCTGCTCTTTGGACAGGGGGCCTCCAAGGAGGGGCTGTAACTGATGTGCCCCTAGGCCCGGGAGGGACTGTCTGGGAATAGGACAGTGGAGTGTGGGGGTTCACTGTAACTGTCTAGGCTGGTGTTTGGCTCCATACCAGTGGCTCTTTGGGCTTCTTTGCCCCTACCCTCGCTCTGCCTTCCTAGGGTGGAAAGAGGTGGCCATGGCTTCTGGCCCTGGCTTTGCCCTTCTCTGAGCCAGCCTCTCTGGTCACAGTCTGCCCCTGCCCTGGGAACGGCCAGGCCTGGCTTGGCGCTCGGGCTGGTCAGCATGCCCATGGATCGTTTACGTTTGGACTCCGTGGGAGGGGCAGCATGCGAGCCCAACTCCAGGCCCTTCCATTTAGTGGGGTTCAAAGGCAGGAGGTCTGGCCTCGGGTCACCCAGGGCCTCTGGGAGTGGCCCCCAGAGTGGGGTCTGCCCGGCAGCCTCTCGGGGCTCACCCTGTGCCCTTGCCCCACTGCCCTCAGGGCCCCTGCGCTTTGTCATCATCCATAAGCGATGCGTCTACTACTTCAAGAGCAGCACGTCCGCCTCCCCGCAGGGTGCCTTCTCGCTGAACGGCTATAACCGGTAAGTGCCCGCTACCCGCCGGCCCCAGCAGAGCCCTGGCCAGGCCAATCCCAGGTTCCCACCCAGGGAAAGTTCGGGCTCTCCTGAGTCGGCTCACACCCCACCCACCCTGGATCGCGTCCAGCATTCTCCCCTCCCTCTTGGCCTCTATGTGGCCTCCTCACGACCTCCCCCAGGTCTCCCCGGCTTCAGGGCCTCCTGGGCTGGGGCCAGCTCCTTGCTTTACACATGCCATGGGCTGGGTCCACCCAGTGAGTGCCTCCCTGCTGATGGGGTTCCCCTGGGGTCCCCCGGAGAGGGATGTTTCCTTTTCCCAAACACACCACCCTGACCTCAGGGGATGGTGCAGATGGGCACGCCTGCCCCAGGTGCCTGGCCCCATGGGCTCCCCCGTGGCAGTGGGGGCAGGGTGGGGGCTGACATGTTAGGGCCCCCAACAGGCAGGCCAGGGGCCAGGTGGGGCTGAGGTGGGCAGCGAGGGTGACGTGTCCTCGCTTTGGAGCCCCGCATGCTGCTGCTCCCAGGATGACCTCCCAGACCCCAGAACCATGTCTGCCCATCCCTGTCCCTGCCTATGTGCTTTCCTCTGCCTGAAGCATCTAGGCCTTTGGCCTGGAGAGTGAGCAAGGTGGGACTGCCCAGACCTGCCAGTGTCCTTGGGGGCGTGCTGGGTGCTGGGTGCTGAGGCCTGCCCAGGTGCTGACCGCTGGCCCCGTGCCCTCAGGGTGATGCGGGCGGCTGAGGAGACGACGTCCAACAATGTCTTCCCCTTCAAGATTGTCCACATCAGCAAGAAGCACCGCACCTGGTTCTTCTCTGCCTCCTCTGAGGATGAGCGCAAGGTGAGGCTGCCTCCAGGGGCAGGGAGCTGGCAGGGATACCATCCTGGCCCTGAGGGGACGTGGGGGGGCAAGGTGCCGGGCAGGTGCTGTTCCTCAGTCCTCCTCCTTGCGTCCGTGGCCTGGTCCGGCACCACGCTCCTGGAAGCTGTGTCAGGAAGAGCCCTGAATGGGCTGAGGGGAGGCCAGAGCCCCAGGAAGGCTGCCAGCCAGGGCCATGAGGGCAGGCAGCGTGAGGGAGGGGCAGGCCCTGGACAGCACTGTGCTCACCGCAACCCGGACTGATCCACAGGGCTGGATGGCCTTGCTGCGCAGGGAGATCGGCCACTTCCACGAGAAGAAGGACTTGCCCACAGACGCCAGGTGGGCCTGGGCATGGGAGGCACGGGCAGGGTGTCACCAGGGCCACTGGGTTGACATGTGTGCCTACCTCCCAGCTTCCGGGGGCCTGACCCAGAATCGCCTTCTTAATGAGTTTTCTGAGGGTGCCAGCCAGGCTGTGTGTGTGTGTGTGTGTACGTGTATGTGTGCGTGTGTGTGTGTGTCCCGGAGTGTATAAGTGCGTGTGTGCACACCCATTGGTGGTTTCTGTTCAGGGGCCGTGTGTGATTTTACCTGCCCGCCCAGAGGCCCAGCACTTGTTGTAGCTCAGAGCTTCAACTTCCCAGTCCCCTGACGCTCACCCTGGCGCGTTGAGACTGAGACCAGAGTGAGTCCCCCAGGGCACTGGCACAGTCCATCTGGGTCTCGGTGACCTCACCGTGAGGTGGCCCAGCAGGCAGCAAGGGCCCTTTGGGCAGGAACAAAAACCATCCTGTCCTTTCAGAGCTGAGGAAACTAAGGCCCAGAGAAGGCTGGGCACACCTGAGGCCATCCCACAGGTGCCTGCCTGCCCCCAGAGCTCCTGGCCCTGAGCCTTATAGCAGGCTCAGTTCAGAGCTGACTGGAGACCCAGAGGTGGGCAGTGGGATGTGGGGCTGGCCCTGAGGCCTGGCCCTGTCTGGTCGGTCAGGGGAGGCACCACAGCCTCCAGTCCCTGTGTCTGGTTTTTTTTTTTTTTTTCAACGTTTATTTATTTTTGGGA